GACCAATCTATAGCCTATCACAAAATGAGTTAGTTACATTCAAAGAATATATTGATGAGAACTTAACTAAGAACTTTATATGCCATTCTAAATCTCCAACAAGGATCTTATCTTATTTGTAAAGAAAAAAGACGAATCTTTGCGGATGTGTGTAGATTATTGAGGACTTAATAAGATCACCATCAAGAATAAGTCTCTTCTACCTTTGATTTTAAGACTTCTTGATCAACTAAATTAAATAAAGATCTATACAAAAATAGATCTATAAGGAGCATATAACCTCGTCCACATCAAAATAAGAAACAAATAGAAGTTTGCTTTTCAAACTCAATATGAATATTTTGAATATAATGTCATGCTTTTTGGACTCATAAATGTACCAGAAGCTTTCTAACATCTAATGAATGATGTCTTTTGTGAGTTCCTTGATGATTTTGTCATCTATTATTTGGATGATATTTTAATCTATTCTAAGAATACAAAAGAGTATAAAGTTTATTTTTGTCAAATATTACAAAAACTAAGAGATGCAAGATTATATGTAAAGATGAAAAAGTGTGTATTCCATACTATTCAAGTTAACTTTTTGGGATACATCATTTCCAATGAAGGCCTTATGATGGATCTAAAGAAGGTCCAAACTATCATAGATTGAAAGATTCCAAAAATAGTAAGAGATGTATAATACTTTTTAGGCTTTGCTAATTATTACCAAATCTTTATCAAGAATTTTTCTCAAGTTATAGTTCCACTTACATGTTTTACTTGTAAAGGCAAACTTGAGTTGAATAAAGAAGTCAAAGAATTATTTATTGTTTTAAAGAAAGAATTTACTTTTGCACCAATTTTATATTGTATCAACTTTTCTATGGTATTTTTTATAAAAACAAATACATCAAACTTTGCCTTGGGTTTAGTATTATTACAAATGGAAATAGATGACAAATTCCATCAAATAGCTTTCTATTTCAAGAAATTTTCAACAACCAAGATTAACTATGACATCTATGAGAAAGAACTTCTTACAATTGTGGATTCATTTTAAGAATGGCATTAATATCTAGAAAGCACTTCAAGTCTAGTCAAAATATATACAGATGACATGAACCTCGAGTATTTCATGTCGACACATATTTTGAATCATTGCTAAACTTGTTGGAGCATGTCATTATCAAGATTTGATTTCAAAATCACATATCAATATAGAAAACAACATAGTTTATCAAAAATTCTTTCTAGATGCTCTTATCTTTCATAAAAAGAAGGAAGTATATCTTTTAATCAACAAATAACAATCTTCTTGAAGCTAGTATATTTTTGTTTTTGAATAATGAAATCAATGTTGATTGTTGATTCAACCTTTGTCAAACAAATTCAATCAAGTATGTCTTCTGATCTTCTCGTTCATGATATCAAGAATCTTTCTTCTATGTCTCATGGTATTTTAAAGTTTGAGTTCAAGAACAACCTATTCTACTTTGAAGGACACTTATACATTCTAAATAAAGAAGCATGTTTACATATTTTTTAAGCATGTCATGACTTTCTAGTAACAAGATATTTTGGATACAAGAAGATTTTAGAGCTTATATTTAAAAAGTTTTAGTAGCCGCAAATGTGAAAGGCAGTAAAAGACTTTGTCTAGTCATGTAACATTTGTTTAAGATTGAAAACTCCTTGTCATTAATCCTATGGACTTCTCCAACTATTACCTATATTTGAACAACTATGGTCTTCCATTTCTATGGATTTTATTATAAATCTTTTAAGTTCAAGTTCATATGACTTTATATTTGTAATCGTAGATTACTTCATCAAAATAGCACATTTTGTACTATATACAAAATCTATTTTAGGTAAAGAAATAACTAAGTTTTTTATTGACAATATCTATTGCTATCATGGATTGTCCAAGGATATTATATTAGATATAGAGACTCAATTTGTATCAAGATTTTGAAGAATCCTATTTAAGATTTTAAAGGTGGATATAAAGCTCTCTTTGGCTTTTCATCCTCAAATTGATGGACAAATAGAATGGATAAATCAAGTTTTGAAGCAGTATTTGAAGTATACCATTAACTATCATCAAGATGATTGGATAACTTTTTTACCATTGGTAGAGTTTGCATATAATAATTTTGTATATTCTTCTACTTAATAAATATTTTTTTTATAAATTATGGTTATCATCCACAAGCTGATACTTTTGACTTTTCAAAAGTTAATAATCCTGTAGCAAAAGATTTAGCAAATCGTTTGTCAGAGCTATACGCAACAATGAAGACTCAATCAAAGGAAATTCAAGAACAACAAAAAATCAATATCGATGCCTACCACAAGGAATAACCACAATTTAATGTAGATAATAAGATATGATTACTTCATCACAATATCAAATCTAGTCATCCTTATAATAAGTTGGATTATTATAGATTAGGACCTCTTCATATTTGTAAACAAAATAATCTTATTGCTTATCAATTATATCTACCAAAGTCTATGAAGATCTATCTTATATTTTACGTGTCTCTTCTTGAGTCATATAAGATAGTGAATATCTTGGAAAGAAGACAAATGCTACCTCCTCCTATAAAAGTAGATAATAATCAAAAGTTTGAGATAGAAGAAGTCTTAGACTCAAGGCAGTGCCAAAATAGATTGAAATATCTTGTTCATTGGTGTGGATATGATATTAGTGAATGCACATGGGAGCCATCAAAGAATCTTGCAAATGCAGCAAAGAAAGTTGAAGTCTTTCATCAACAACATCTATCAAAACTAAGATGAAGAATAGTAAATCTATGTTATAAAAGAAACAAGATCAAAAGAAGATAATACTTTATTTTCTATCCTTCTTTATAGCTTGTATGTAGTTAAGGAGATGAAAAAACAACAACCAGCAGATTCAATTTAAGAGCTTTCATTTTGCAGACTTATCAGATGAGATATTGTGATTGTCACAATCTTCAAGTTGACAAAATCAAGATGAAGATCCTCAAGAATGACATGTCTTTCTTTCAATAGATGGTGAGATATAATGTGTTTGGTAACACAACCTTAAAAGAAACTCCTAATATTTAGTGTTTTTATTAGAGGTAGGAACAACTCTTGACAATATTTCAAATATTTTATTTGAAAGAAGTTACAAAGGCCTCAACAATGACCAAATAACAATGTGGTCTTCTTACCTTGATATAGGATACTATCAATGATTGAGAGGTCCTATCAACCATCTTTGAAGAGAAAAAAGATCAAAGGATGTGGCAAATACAATTTGCCGCATCTTAGAATTCCTGAACATATAAAAACCGCTTCTTATGGAAATCATCCTTAGAAGGGAAGGTAATGTCACAATGATACATAGGTATTCTAGTAAATAGTTATATGATTAGATAGGAATAAATAAAAGTAAATAAAATTAGGTTGATTTCATAAAGACCTTTTAGAGAAGCTTCTTAGAAGCTTCATAGATGCTACTTGACTTTACATGTGTTTGTAGTTAATTGGTAGGTTAGAAACTTGGTCAACAAGTTAACCACATATTGGTAGCTTGTAGAACAAGCTAACTATATGATGCACATATAGAAAACTTGCCTTGCAAGTTAAGATACATGTCTTGTAAAGTCAATATATTTTGGAGGTCCTAGAAGACATCGCCACGTAGCTCCTAGTTAAGAATATATATAGAAGCAAGAGTGAAGCCTTCTTCACTCTTGTCAATGCATTTCTAGTCTTTAGTCTTATTTCAAGACTTTTTAGTCTTTTTAATTTGGACAATAGCTATTCTAGTTTAATATTACATCATCTTTTGAGTGACTCTCTAGTTCTTTTCAGTGACATTAGTGTGTATTGAGGATTTTCTTTCTTCGAGATTCATGTCTGTGACAAGTCTATATATTTTATTGGTTATTGCAACACTAGTAAGTTAAGTTTTTCAAAGCATTCTATGCATTTTGAAAAATATATTTTTGATTATTGTCTTAATAGAAAAGTACATTATTGGAACTAAAGTTATTAAAATCTATGAATTCTATGAGTATTTTGTGCAAAAATATTCAATACAAATTTACATCTATTTTTTTTTCAATCTTAGTAAATTCACATATATTGTGAGTGGTCATGCAATTCTAAACCATAAGCAAGCTATTACTTTACTTTATGGTTTTTGAGCAAGAATAATTGAATAATATTTTTGACTATTCCTTCTAACACCAAATCCACTTATCTAATTCAAGTTGGTTTATCTTTGTCTTATTAGACCACTTAAGTTTTTATTTATCTTCAATATTCCAATACTTGAGTTGGTTGGCAAAGTCCAACATAATTAACTTTGATAATGTAATAATAGCATCTTCTTTATCTTTATTATTATTCATATTTCTTTTATTTTGAAGAAATTAAGTATTATATCAATATACACAACCTGTCAATGATATAAATCTTAAAGAATTGAAAGATCAAGACACTCTTCTATCATTCAAAAATATTAAAAAATTACTCAAAGATGGTAATATATTCAATTGGAATAATTATTGCCAAAGACAAGAAGACTAAAAAGTCTTAAAACAAGACTAACGACTAATAAGACATTGACAAGACTAAAGAAGGCTTTACTCTTACCTCCATACATACTATCTAACTAGAAGCTACATGACAATGTTCTATAGGACCTCCAATACATTTTGATTTTGTAAGGCACACATCTTAACTTGTAAGATAAGTTTTTTATATGTATGCCTTATAGCAAGCTTGTTCCACAAGCTACCAATATATGTGATATGTGATTAATTTATTGACTAAGTTTTTAACCTATCAATTAACTACAAATATATATTAAGTCAAAATCACATTTATGAAACTTCTAAGAAGCTTTTCTATTATTATAAAATTATGAAGTTATTATAAAATTTATTTATTTTTATCTACTTCTACCTAATCATATACATAAATATTGGAGTAAATACATATGTCTATGATACAACCACATTAACATCACAAACAATGCTTGTAGCAACTTCAACCATAGTATCTACATTGCTTGTTGAAATATTGCATGTAATTTTTTATTTGATAGTGTTAGATACCAGCAGCTTAGCGGTTCACAGCATCTAGAATCTAAATTTGCTGGATCGATACACCCGCTCGTTGGATCATGTGCTATGTTGTGGGTTGTTGGCATGACAATGCCATTTTCTAATCTTGTGCGTGCCACGTTTGCTCCCTAAAATTATGATACTCGAGTTTTCATGACCTAACTATGACATCCCTAGGACGTGAGCAATCCGAGCTTCAACAGTGTTTGCATTGTCTAGACGCGCCGCCGCAGATGCAAAAGTGTCCTTGACAAGACTGGCATGCCCTTCTCGTTCACATCAGTGCTCATCAGTGAAATAATCGTCAGGTGGCTTTGTTGGTTGCTGTACTTGCATGCTCCAAATCCATCTCCCAATCTTCATCAAAGAGAAATGTCGCCAGTTACGCTGCAAGCCACAAAACGTGTTTGGACTTACTAATCCTCGATATTCTCAACCAAGCTCCAAACGATCGATTCCTATCACCTTTTAGTGACGGAAATCATGTACATGACCACAGAAGTAAGTAGGATTTGAAAGGTGGGCAGCAGACGGTACTTGATTAGAACCTTCTCTTGAAAAAACTCGGAACACACCCAGCAGCCCTTCAACCTCCACATTAATGTCTGCAGTGACTGAACCAACCAAGACCAAAGGTGAGTTAATCGTCATATCTCCAACCTTACATGCGAAATGTTAAAAAAATGCAAGAAGTCCAGCCAATTGATGGAAGATGCAGCTACAGTGACGATAAAAGCTGTATTTCGTCTTCGTTGTCAGACAACCAACGAGGCAACGAAGGATAATCACAAACTAGAAAACAAAACCAAGCTACGATCGAAAACCGCTTTTGCAATGAATTGAAGGAAAGACGTAATGAGCAACATGCACGGAAAGAACTAAACTGAAATTTCCAACATTACCGATAACTCCAGCAATTACTCTACGACCACCTGCACCAAATTCGAAATCACATATTCAACCCTCCGTCCAGCGTCATGACCTCATTGAAATCAACCACGGAAAAGATAATTTCCCACGATGGAATATGACGCAATATTTCTGGTCTCAGAAAATCCTCCGCATCAGTCCAAATGTGGCTTGAACGAATATTCCCGTTTTCCAAACGGAGTGTGCTACGGCAGTTGCTCCTGCGAAAACCATTTTGAGCAGGGAGCGATGATGAATCTCGTCACTAAGCCATCAAAAGACTTCGTCTTAAATGAAGGCTGACGACATCCCTCGAATAACTTTTCCATGTGGATATGTCCGCCTTCGCAAACTCAGCAAGTTTGCATGGCCCTACAACCCAGAATTAGGCACTTCACTGCAGCTATTAACCTACCAGAGATCTCTGGTAGGTGAAGAATTGGTTTCAGTGTTGCCGTGATAAGCTTCAAAAAGCTTCTGTTGCCCATTCAAGTCTTATCTCATCTCGTATAAAAAATAATCATTCTAATTTTGAACTTTTTTACGGCAAAATGTATTCTAGTCTAAAAGTCCAGCCGAAATTATTTCTGTTGTTCGCATATTGTTCTAAAATTTTGATCAAAATTGAAGGTATTTTTTTGCACCCAGATTGTCTACATGCATGTTCTATGGAGCAATGTATGGATGGTCTTGAATCTTCTAAATCTTGATTTGAGGTGCTCCACAGGAACGAATGCAGGCCCGAGTTCCCATCAGCAAGGTCTGGTTGGTGATTTGTGAAGAAACAATGTTGTCTGATCCTACACTGTACGTGCTTCAGCACAATTCTAAAACCAAAGTACAAATTCTTACAAGCATGAGAACCACAAAGTACAATATGCTTGCATAACTGCATTAATTTGTTTTCTCAAAGCCTGGACTACTAAACCCCTGTACCACATATCATGTACCATATGAGTAACAATTATATTCTTTCTGTGTTAAAATCTTTATCTAAAGATCGTACCAATTGAAGACATAGTTAGGGTTGAAGTTGTCTCTCGATTTGGAAGGTGCCAAATCTCAAGGATCTTCTGAAACTGCATTGTGTACCTCTGAGTAGTGCCGTAGACCCTTTGGCCCAATATGCCTTGAATTATGTTCATTATTCCTCAGTGGCAAGTTTTTGGAGATGGAACCTACTATCATCAGTCTTCAGCAGAGTTGAGCGTGCGGGACAATGAAGCCGAACTGTGGTCACTGTTCATCGATCAGGGATTGCGATCACATCGATTTGCAATGGGGATGGAGTCATTGAATGGTGGGCCTACAACTCTCCCGCAGAGTTCGTTAAGGGAGGATTGCGCCAACTTGATTCCATCGTTGTAGATCAGTTCAGTCAATCTCATGTCTTCCGCGGCATTTCGTCGTCAAATTCCATCTACTCACTGTTGCCTCACCAAGATGAACACCAGTCACTTTACGGCTCGAGTCTTTCGTAACAGACTGAAAAGAGCTTCATAATGTTACGGGTCAATGCTTATCATTATCGACATAAGTCCAAATGCAGAGAACACGACAACGGGTCCAGATGCCCTTTGAAATCTTAGTATCGTCTTGCTGGAAGGGCTGATGGCCCCACGCCTCCCCCATGTGGATGGCACCGATTGATCGGTGGTCTCTCAAACGCGAAGAGATTGACGTGAATCGCTCGGAACAGATGGATGGATGCCAAGGAAAGGCTTGCCTGGAATAGTTGATGTAAGCTAGCCCTTGACTGCATACTAAAAACCCCATTATGTGTTTGGAGCAGGGCCAAGCTTTGTCACTTGCTGTGGCGTCTTGGTCGTGTGCAGCGTCTCGTCGCGTTCCCTCTCGGACGCTGGTCGGAGTATAAGTAGCACTCGCAGGGTGCATTCTGTAGCACGAGAGGTAGAACGAGTGCTGTTCGCCACATCTTGCCTTCGGTAGAAATCTGAAATTCTGCTGTCTAATTCGACGTTGTAACGCAGGGTTCGAGAAGTGTATTTAACGTGTATCTCTGCGAGTTTATGGGTCCCAAGTCAAGTTACCCGATTGGCAGTCGATAGTTGAGATTAACTAAGGATGTTGGGAATCTTTGTGTGGCAGCGTCCGAGTTAGCTGCTTCGGTGTGCGGTTGCAGCGGCTCTCGAATCGCATTGCGATCTGTTTGTCTCTAGCACGATGAAAGCTATAAATCCACTGAAGGCATTACTTTCTGAATAAGACGGTAGAGTAGAGTGGTGGAGGTCAGCATCGGCCACGTAGGAGCGGGAAGCAGTAGTACCGCATTGTTATTTTCTGTTGTGCCTCGATTTTGAGCTATGGCATATTTACAGAAGATTGCGTCTATTGACGCCCAAATGAGGCTACTGGTGCCGAAGCGAGTGTCCGACGACGACAAGCTTATTGAGTACGACGCGCTCTTGCTCGACCGTTTCCTTGACATCCTCCAAGATCTGCACGGCAAAGAAATCAAAGAAGCGGTATAATCTCTTAATCCTAGACTAACCCAAACTCAATCCCTTGGATATGCATTGCCTATTATAAGAATTTGTGAGATTTTGAATGCCTGGGAATTAACCTCTTTTGGGTTTAATACGTTGATGCAGGTGCAAAACTGTTATGAATTGTCAGGAGCGTTTTGTAAAACCGACGGGAAAGATGAGGCGAAGCTTCAGCAGCTATCATCTTTGCTCAACAATTTGGACGCTGGTGACTCGATCGTGGTAGCGAGTTCTTTCTCGCACATGCTTAACCTTGGAAACTTGGCAGAGGAGGTTCAGATCGCCTACCGTCGTCCAGGGAGCAGGAAGGGTGACCTTGGTGATGAGAGCTCCGCATTGACTGAGTCTGATTTGGACCAGACATTCCAGAGGTTGGTGAAGCAGCTCAAGAAAACCCCGGAAGAGATTTTCGAGGCTCTCAAGGATCAGACTGTCGATTTGGTCCTCACAGCACACCCAACCCAATCCGTCCGTCGTTCTCTCCTTCAGAAGCATTCACGGATTCGCGACTGTCTGTCGCAAATGTATGGCAAGGACATCACAGCTGAAGAAAAACAAGAGCTTGACGAGGCTCTGCAAAGAGAGGTATCCTAACTGACGTCAGTGTAATTTCGCTGAATCTAATTTTAACTGTCATATTCGTGCATTCATCTTGAATGTAATCTGAAGAGACGGTTGATGAATGTGGCTTGTTTCCCCTAAACAGATTCAAGCAGCGTTCCGCACGGATGAGATCCGGCGATCTCAGCCAACACCTCAAGATGAAATGCGTGCCGGCATGAGCTACTTCCATGAAACAATTTGGAACGGATTGCCCAAATTCTTGCGAAGAGTAGACACCGCCTTGAAGACCATTGGTGTGAAGGAGCGTCTCCCACATAATGTTCCCCTAATCCAGTTTTCGTCGTGGATGGGAGGTGATCGCGATGGAAACCCGCGTGTAACCCCCGATGTGACACGAGATGTGTGTTTGTTAGCTCGACTCATGGCCGCGAATCTCTACTTCGCCCAGATTGAAGATCTTATGTTCGAGGTAAATGGGTTTCACTTCCTAATTTTAATGGTTGCCACTCAAAATCTTTATACTGCTCTTTGGACATTACATTGACTAATATTAGGTGCAATCACTTGCTATCGAAACAGCTGTCTATGTGGCGCTGCAGCGATGAGCTTAAGCAGAGGGTAGCTACACTGGAAGCACACGCAAAGAAGGAGGCTAAGCATTACATAGAGTTCTGGAAACACATTCCTCCCAATGAGCCATTCCGCGTTTTGTTGGGCGACATGCGTGACAAGCTGTACAACACGCGGGAGCGGATGCGGCAGCTGTTAGCAAGTGGTAAGAGTGACATCAATATAGAAGATACCTTCACCGATGCCTCTCAAATCCTGGAGCCTTTGGAGTTGTGCCACCGGTCGTTGTGTGAAACGGGAGACAAGCCAATTGCAGACGGCAGTCTTCTAGACTTCATGCGTCAGGTATCTTGCTTCGGGTTGAGCTTGGTAAAGCTGGACATCCGGCAAGAGTCTGAGCGTCACACTGATGTGCTGGACACCATAACGAATTACCTCGGCATCGGATCATACCGCGACTGGTCTGAAGAGCAGCGTCAGGAATGGCTTCTGTCTGAGCTTCGCGGGAAGAGGCCCTTATTTGGAGACGATTTGCCAACGACAGAGGAAGTGCAGGATGTACTTGACACGTTCCGCGTCATAGCTGAGCTGCCAACGGACTCCTTCGGCGCCTACATCATCTCGATGGCCACTTCCCCGTCGGACGTCTTGGCAGTCGAGCTTCTACAGCGCGAGTGCCGTGTCCCAAAACCCCTCCGCGTGGTACCGTTGTTTGAGAAGCTGGCTGATCTGGAATCAGCTCCGGCTGCACTCTCACGCCTCTTCTCCATTGACTGGTACCTCAACCACATCAAAGGGAAACAAGAGGTCATGATTGGATATTCCGACTCTGGGAAGGATGCAGGTCGTCTTTCAGCGGCCTGGGCAATGTACAAAGCTCAAGAGGATCTTGTGAAAGTGGCGAAACAGTATGGGATCCGGCTCACAATGTTTCATGGCCGTGGTGGCACTGTAGGAAGAGGTGGAGGTCCCACTCATCTTGCTATCCTTTCCCAACCTCCGGACACAATCAATGGCTCTCTGCGCGTAACGATTCAAGGAGAAGTCATAGAACAGTCATTTGGCGAGGAGCATTTGTGCTTCAGGACATTGCAGCGTTTTACCGCAGCTACTCTAGAACACGGAATGCATCCTCCCATCGCTCCAAAGCCCGAGTGGCGAAACCTCATGGATTCCATGGCCGTGACTGCCACCGAAGAGTATCGTTCAATTGTGTTCCAAAACCCTAGATTCGTAGAGTATTTTCGAACGGCCACTCCGGAGCTAGAATATGGGCGCATGAATATTGGCAGTCGTCCGTCGAAACGCAAGCCGAGTGGCGGGATAGAATCTCTGCGAGCTATTCCGTGGATTTTTGCATGGACGCAGACACGGTTTCATCTTCCCGTATGGCTGGGCCTCGGCGCTGCTCTGAGGCAGGCATTGGAAGCTGAACCAAATAACATGACTGTCCTTTCGCGAATGTATGACCAGTGGCCTTTCTTCCGAGTGACCATCGATTTGGTCGAGATGGTGTTCGCCAAAGGTGACCCCCGCATAGCCGAGTTGTACGATAGTTTGCTTGTATCTGAGGAGCTCAGACCCTTAGGCGATGAGCTCCGGGAGAAGTATGAGGAGACGAAGGCACATCTGTTGAAGGTAATTGATTTCTTGTCCTACTCTTGTGCGAAAAGACACACATTTCTATACACGCACACACATACATTTGTTCTTTTGTTTCAGCAGAAATGGTTGCTACAACGAATGCAGGCAACTAAACTAGGATCTGGCGTCCCGTTACCTATGTTGGAATTGTAGATAGCAAGACACAAGGATATCCTCCAAGGCAACCCTACCTTGAAGCAGCGTCTGAGGCTTCGAGAACCTTATATTACTGCGCTCAATATCCAACAAGCCTTCACTCTCAAGAAAATGCGAGACCGAAGCGCATACTACGCAACCTTGCAGCCTGAGTCTCCGAGACCGACCAAGGCTGCTGCGGAGTTGGTGACCTTGAACCCCACTACTGAGTTTGCGCCCGGGCTAGAGGATACTCTGATCCTGACCATGAAGGGTATTGCCGCGGGTATCCAGAACACAGGCTAGAGGTCAATTCCGCTTCCAATGAGGGGAGATAATTCGACCGCAATCAAGGACTGCAGGGAAACAAAGTCCACAAGATGGCTGTTGCATTTGGTTGCCTCCTGCTGCCTTCAACGTGCGATCAATGTTGCTACAAGCGGATTTTAATGGTGTGATGGCTTTGAAAAAGAGAGTTGGTGAGCTGCGGGAGAATAGTCAATAGGGAGAGAGCATTCGGTCATGGCACATTTAGACGTTAGGATCCCCTCTGCCAGGTTTATTGCAAGTGCTGTGGAGCACTCTGACTATGTATCAATCTACTAACTTCAATACAATGCGGAGATTTTCATATTCGTCCTGGTCAATTTTTCGTGTCCAATTATTTTCTTACTGACAAAGTTTGGGAAATATCTTTTCGCATTATTCAAATGAGACCTTAACTGAATCGGTACAAACCAGAATCCCTACGCGAAAGAATGTGACCAAACTATTCTCCACTGTTAAAATGATAATATCAAAATGCAGGTTCTGCACCCTGAACGCAGAATTCAAGAGTACAAAAACCATGTATAAATTTAGTCTCAATTTATGAAAGAAGCGAACATTCTCGTAAGGCACTAACCAAACTTACCTCTCAGTAAACAAAACCGGATAAATAACAACTGATATGGCACACATATGCAGATTTACAAATGCACTGTTACTAGGTCACTGCTCCTGATCTGGATCCATCCGGGTAACATTTAACTCCAGAGTGGCTCAGGATTCTTTAAGAGAATCATTGCGTGTGGTGGCAGTAGTTGAAGTAGAGAATGATGACTGCGCAGTGAACATGAGAGGAACGCAAGGGGAATAATTCTCTGGAGCATGATTAGCTGAGGCCGAGGCAGAGGAGGAAGTTTCTGCAGCGTAAGGATTTTCAGAGAGACGAGTTTGGACAAGGGGAGAGGCAACATGCGAACTGTCGGCATGGACATCAGGGTGAAGAGGAGCAGGACGCAGATCCTCATGACTTTTAGGGGATTGGGCACCACTACTGGGACCATGAAAGTGGAGAGGTAGAGGAGAACGACTGCAAGGATCTGAGGTTTGAACCTCAACACCGAGAACGGAGACTGACTTGGGGGGTACGACATGCAGTCCGGTCATGTGTAAAGTTAGAGACGAGTCAGATTTCATCACAGGAGAAGCAGGACTGTAGGAATCATCAGAATCGAGAGTTACGTTGAGGTCAGGGGAAGTATTGAAATGCTTACGAGGTGGCTTATCGACTAGGTCATGTGTATGGAGTGGTCTCTCAACGTCAATGCCTATTTCTTTTACTTCATGAGAGGGCCGCGAATCCTGCTGGGTCTCGGCGGAGCCACTGGTCGAGTAGCTAGAACCATTGCTTCCATCATCCAGACCTTGACCTGATGAACCATTTGCACTACTGTCTGATATCTTCCGCTGAGAACAAGGCTCGAGTAATGCTTGAAACTTGTCGTCAGAAGCCTTGACGTCAATTGACTGTAAGCGGGATGAGGCAGCTAGCAGGCGGTTTTTGTCAGAAATCACACGCTGGTCGTGTAGTTTATGAATTGCTTTCAAGACAGCCTCTCTTGCTTGCATAACTGCAACAGAATCGCACTCAGAGTGCCCTGCATCAGTTTAAAGTAAGGGTAGGAAATGAGAATTTATTTCAATCAACATAAACGAGATCTGATTAGATCATTATCAAAAGTAACATCAAATGAGGAGCATGAACGAGATTTGTATGTTAGACTAAGGGTATGATAAATGCACCTAAAGAGGACGACACCCATCTCATATTCAAATCTTCTCGGGATTTGAGGCAGAGCATAAACTTCTTCAATGCATCATTAACAGCACTGTCACCACCACCACACCAAAGCACACGAAACTCCTTTGGATGCAATTGAGCCATATCGCCAGCAGCACGTTGGCGCACGATTCTCAGAAAGCTTTGCACTTTGTGCACTATCATTTCACGCTCAAGTGTCGAACCATGAAGCAGAAAATTGATATCTTGAAAAACTTCTGCTTGTGCCCCGGAATGAGGAAGCAAGTTTGCAAACAGAAAGCATCCTTCATTGAGAACAGATTGAGCAGAAATTCTCAGCACAGGAGCTGCACTTTCGCTGGTTGAGTAGCTGAGGATCGTCTCGCGCGAAAGCCCCGAGATAGGATCAGATAAAGTTTTGTTTTTATCAAAGCAACAGAAGTACACAATCTTGAACATGCGCACTATCAAAGGACAAGGCGGAGGATCACTAACATACAGGCTACGATTCCTTAGCACAGCATGCGCAATTTGCTTTTGCTCTGCGTCCGAATGTAACCAAGGTCTAGGGGGGACGCTTGCAATGGAATACAACTTCAAAATATGTAGTAGTGGTGACCAATGCCAAACAGCCAGTTCCTTATGGGCATGTTCCCTTGCATCGAAGTCTTTGAGTCTATCCTTGACATACCTCTCCCTGCGTAAGCGAAGCTCCTTTTCGGCTGCAAGCTTCTCTCCTTCAAATTTTAAGCATTCTTTCTGGTATTGCAGGAACGCTAGCAATGCTTGCTTCTCTGTGTGTCGTGCAACTAGATCAGGGAGACCTCCAACTAATTTGAATCTGGTTGTTGTAAGCTTCACTGCGTTTTTTTCCTCTTCATTTGCATCACACTGCGAAAAATTCATCTATTTAGCGAGTTTTGATGAAGTATTAAGGCAGATGAACTAAATCGGATATTGAACACCAAAAGGTTTAAATCTGGATTTTATCTTGATTATAGGATTGCAGATTTAAGAAGGTCTAAGAGTTCTTTACACCAACAGCAATAAAATATCATATACCTTCCTATACTGGCATTCTAGAATAAATGAATAATCTACGTTCAAGCCTGTTCAGGTTCAAAACCAATCTAAGTGCACTTATACTGAGCTTGGTTAGTAGAGGGCTTTGCAATAATGTTTAACATAGATTTCACTGAGAAAGATATTCAATATTGCTGACTGACAGATTTTGCATGTACCTCTCTCTCCATGTACCACGTTCCATACGAACTGCGTAAGGCGGCATCAATCAGCCCCTTATCTACAAAGTCAATAAAGGCCTGAAAGAAAGAGTCATCCCTGACGTTAGGGAAGTCACTTGGTAGCAACTGGAATTGCATCAAGTACCAAAGACCGGGACATGGCACCACTTCGGGGCGTGAAACCACATAGGCATCTCGAGGCATATTAATAGCTACTACCCACGCCTGGGCTTCGACCTGTTCCCTGGTCAACTACATCTGCACCTGCATCTCTCCTTGCCCCACAGCTAGAGTGTCGCCGCTGTTGGGGATGTCCACCACTTGCTCGTGGTTTCCATACGAAATCTGCATATCACTATCTTTCGAACTCATGTGTTTCTTCTTAGCCCCATGAGAAGAATAGGAAGAAAGCATACCCCATACTTTCGGTTTCTGCGGCCGAAGGGGTGCATGCTCTTCCTCTGCTGCCTGAGCAGCAATTTCTATTCCCATACTAGGGATGGATTCCTTTAAGACGGCGGCTGATTTCTTCCTCTTAGCCCTTGAAGGCTTCTTCCGTGGATTCATGAGACCGCGTTTGATGAGGATATCTTCAACTTCTCCCCTTTGTCCTTTGCCAAACACCGGGTAAATCTTGAGGGCAGTCTTCTTGCCATCACAAGTTACAGCAAAACACCCTTCAAGCCTATGAAGATTCAACTTGTTTTTGTCCTTGAAAACTGCTTTACAGTATATGCAGAAGAAGGGCTTCCGCCTAGAACCATTAAGTTCTTTAGCCCTTGCGAGGTGGTGACATTCACATGTCAACGTTTCGTACTCATCAGTGTCGTACTCCTCTGTAAAGACGCGTTTGTTCTCCTCCATCCGAGTGTACTTCACCATTTTCACTCATTCGGTGTGCTTCTAGGAGCTGCACAAACGAAATGGAGACTGAACCATCACATTTCGCAAATTGTAAAGGTAATGTGAATCAAGAATGCCCCCAAAACACAAGCCCCTTAATGGTATACTGAGATTCTTAGAACTAGAGAAACTAAACATCAATCAACTTAATCTTACTCACCTGGCCGCCCAACTTCACAAAGGTCTCGACAACAAGCTGATTTCAACACCTCTTCAGACCTCCGATACTTGCGCATAATCCTAACCTCACAACAGTAATCACACGCCTCATAACCATGACAAGCGATATTGTCTGAGCAAGCAAGAGGAAAAGGATCTTTCACAAATTGTTGCATTTGAGATTGTCGAGCTTTCCTCCACCACCTAACCTCCCTTCGGACAATGAGAGAGGGAGGGCAACAAACACCCTTGCTGACTTTTAGCCCTTGATAACAGAAGAGTGAAAACTGGGAGAAAAGCAAATACATGACTTTAAAAACCACAGGCTTCCAGGTACATCCTGTAGATCGATGTCTAAGACACTTCTAAATTGATGAGTTGGGCATCCAGATAATCTTAGCCCCTGATCCATGCTGTTAAGAATATATAGTCCACGCCATACTTCAGCCTAAACATGTGATTGTCTTGAAAATTTATAAATGAAGTGAATTGTTCGAGGAAAAGCACAACATGATTAAGCTCTATAATGTTGGGCTCTTCACACGTTCCAGTGCCTGCACGACAACCAGTACACCATGAAATATCTGCTTGGCGCTCATACGACTTGTGGATGATTCCTCACAAGGCAATGACGATTTCGATTGTAAACGTGATCATGAATCCGTATGTACAGCAATAAAGTGAAGCGCAGGTCCACTTATTAGAAGTATTTCATGAAGGAGACCAAAGCAACAACTAGAACGCACTCTCTTGATACCGACCAAAGCATTTACAACGATCCTATGCCAAGACACTGCCTTTCGTCATTCTTCAAAAGTCAAATGCAGCCCTGTACGCACATTTCCATTACTGCACTCATTTTCTTGGATTTTGCCACGGCCGGTTCGTCCACGAAATGTGATCTCTCGCTTTCCATTGAAAGCTTTTCCAACCCTGATTCTTGCATTCGGTTACGAGCTTTGGACAAGTATCACATGAGCTCATTATAGCTTTCTACGCATCACAGCAGCTGCGGAACCTCATCGACTTCATCCTGAAAAAACCTGGAAAAGCATTCAGAATATGCATACAAAAAATGCCATAGAAAAGAAGACCGAGCTGTTTGCAACGAGAAATTCTCGCTTTTACTGAACCTAAAGCGAGCAAAGTTATGTGCTAATCTCAGCTTCCGTTTCCAAAACCCTTACAAAAGCTGGAAAAAACAGAAGTGCACTTCATTTTCAGGGTGCCATCTTGTACCATTTGAGAACATGCAGAATGTGACAAGGTCTTATATCAGGAAAAAATGAGGAACTCTTTTTCCATGCTAACTCTAGGTGACTGCAAGATGAAATCAAGCCAAAGGTACCAGGCAAACAGTTTCTCCTAGTCCTCAATATTGGAACATTTCATCCAATTCATGATGAATTTTACGAGGCAGAAGCTTGAGCGTTACTTGAACCCGCCTCCATAACCTCTAATTGGCTACGCTCAATGCAAGCTAGTTCTCTCCGCAGGCAAAGTCAGCTGACATCCAACAAACTAAGCGTCGTGATACCTTAACTGAGTTGTAAGAGGAGGGATAAAAGAAAAAAAATATTGCGAGAAGTCTGAAATAAGCACCAAAAGAAATTCTTGAAAAAGTGCCTGAAGGATAAAACCAGACGCAATACTCAACACATGTGCGGAGAAACAACGCTGGACATCTGTCGAGCTCATTGTCTAGCAAAGGGCTCAATTCTATCCATCATCCACGCCTTGAAGCAAGTTTACAATCGCACATCACATTGCAATCCTCCTATCGCTGAAAAACCACACAAGTCCAATCCATTCCTGACCTTTCCAGAATACCTAGTAAGAGAATGGAAAGCTGCGACAAAACATTTTTTCCGCGACGAATAATTCCTCAAAGCAAACAAATCGTAGGTCTGCTCTGCTCCGCCATCGCCTGCTCTCTCGCTTTTTCCAGGCGGAGGTCTGCAGAAACAGAACGAAACCAACGAATGTACGCCGCAGAGAAAGCCTAGATTCCTTGCTAAAGACAGGACGCTAGTTCGACTGCGCTACCGGCGACCGACAATTGTGGCATTTTTCGTCGACTTTAACGCTTCTGATCGCGAAATCCAAAAAGATGGAAGCGGATGTGGATCCACAACAGAATGACTCTCCCCGCAGTCGCTCCATTTTGGGACTTCGTTCGATTACTGAGACCACATCTGAACTTTTTAGTACTGCACCTCGATACCCGTCGCCTCGTCTTATCTCCGGGTATGACCGGGTATCTTACGATCTTAAGCAAACCTTCATTGGGATTACATATTTTCTGAGAACTCATTTCTGCACTTCGACTTGTGAACCAGGATCTCTAGCTATGGCATTGCGGTGTTAATTGTCACGATTTATAGACTTCCTAAAGGATTTGAAGGGATATTTATATATTGTATATGAAAATGTTGAATATTCCATATTTTTTGCATCAAAACTGTGACTTACCCGGCACACAACAAAGACCTTGAAGGTGCTCCCACTCTAGTTTCCGCCACAATATTGTTTACAACATAATATGGTATCAGAGTCCTAGCCATGGATAAAATTTATTGGGCAAAAATCTAGATGAATAATTTGGATGATTTTTATGGATGAAAATGGATGAACATATTTTGTAGATGATTTGCCTATTACCGGAGGCTTGTCGTTGTTGGAGCACTGCCAAAGCTGTGGAATGCTGGAGTGCTGCTGGAGTTTAATTCTATTGATGCTATTGTTTTTTATTTAAATAAATTCTATTTGTTGTTAGTGGTAAAAACAAGCTTCTTTTGCTCCAATATAGCTTGATATTATTGTTACTCCCCAAATATTGCATTTTGTAGAACATTTGTTAATTGTTCTCTTATAATTATTTGTTGCTATTGCATCAATTGTATTTAGCAATGTCATCTTTTTGCAATGAATCATCGTATTGATCAGTTAGATGAGAAAAACTATGGCACATGGACATTCATTGTGAAGCATCTGATGTGCATGTGCAAGCTCTACATGCATATAGACTAGATATTAGAATGTCCTATGGATATTGATAAAAAATTAAAATGAGAATCAAGCAAAATAAAAGCACAAGCATTGATTGCAATTAATATTAAGCCTTTGCAATTAATTCATATACGCAAATAAAATACTGCAAAAGAGATGTAGAATGTATTGGTTGAAATCTACAAGTCCTCACAAATTATTACTAAGATATTTTTAATGAAGAAATTGCATAAACTTTGATATGTGGATAGAAAATCTATTGAGATTTTTTTAGAGAGATTTTTTATCTTAAAGATTAATATATTAAAGTTGGTAGTAAAATGGAAAAATAGAGCATGGTATTTTTTATATTTATAGTATTACCAAAATCTTCAAATCCACTTGTTCAATTAATTACATCAAGAAAAAGAGAAGAGATTATGGAAGAAGTAATATGGCCTATTCTCCTTGAAGAAGAGATGCAAAGAAATGAAAAGACTAATTGCCATTTCTTGCTTTAGCAATGCATATAAGAATTCAAGAAGCATCACCTACAACAAAAATAAAAGCCTAAAATTGATAAGCCTAGAAGCACATGTAGGGCTTTTGGACCGAAAATGCGTTAGCAAGGTGATGCAAAATATCCTAGAACAAATAGCAATGATGTTGTAAATATTGAGGTTGGTATTTATTTTTTAGTTTGGAAGATATTATTTAATTCAAAAATAATGATTGTATTGTTGTCTCAATTATGATATTATATTTGCATTAATAATGGAGCAGATGTATACATTGAAAGAAATAGGAATAAGCTTCTCAATTTTAATGAAAATGTAACTATCCAACTCCAAGGCTATGATGGTTGCATTAACAAATCATGAAGCTCAAATGAGATATATTTTATAGTTTTAGACCCCATGAGAAAATACATTCTTGTGGTTGTAAAGGATATCCATTGAGTTCTTGGAGCACATGATACTTTATTCTTAGTTATAATTTTATGGAAGAAACTGTTGCAAATTTAATTTGGATGTCAATGGAGTAGATTGGATTTTGTCTTTAGATAATTTATTTACACAAAGTATACTAGCCAATAAAGCATATCTTATGTCTTATGAAATTAAAGAAATTTCCACAATTATTAATTCATTTATTTTAGAATATATACTTATTAAATAGTATCAAATATAAGCACATACTTCAATGTTTATAATATAAAAGGCAAAGCGGATGGATAATATGAAAGGATTAAAGATCAAGAGGAAAAAGGATGAAATAACTATATGTGAATCACACATTATTGGCAAGGCCCATAAGCAACATTTCTCATACAAATACAAGCATGTCCATGATACCTTAGATGTAATAGTATCTGACCTTGGTTAATTTGATACGACTAATTTTGGTGGTGCCAAATGATTTACTAAGTAGATTGATGAATATTTTAGCTATTATAGTCTTATATTTCTTTAAATTAAGAACCAAATACATATTACTTATAAAACTTGGGAAGTAGAAGCATAAAAAAAAATTGGAAGAAAAGTAAAAACTTTTCTCATTAATTAAGGCACTAAATTCTTAAATAATAAGCTTGATTATTACTTCAAAGTGTCACGGCCATAATCATGTAAACTAATAATTACATATAGAAATAGGTAGAAGTAAGTAAAAGTAGATAAAAGTAAGTTAATTCTATAATATTTAATATAGAAGCTTCCTAGAAACTTCCTAGATGCTGCTTTGACTTCATAGGTGTCTTTAATTGACTTTTTGGATTAGAAACGTGGTCAACAAGTTGGCCATGTGCCACACATGTTGTTAGCTTGAAGATCAAGCTAACTATGTGGCCCACACGTAGAAAAACTTGCCTTGTAAGTCAAGGCATGTGTCCTACAAAGTCAACACATATTGGAGGTCCTATAGAACGTCGCCACGTAGCCCCTAGTTAGATAGTATATATAGAGACAAGAGTGAAGGCTTCTTCACTCTTGTCAACTCCTTTCTTGCTTCTAGTCCAGGTTCAAGAGTCTTTAGTTTCTTGTCTTGTGGCAATAGCCATTCCAGTTTCCTTTTAATATACCTACTTGTTTATATTTTGACTTATTATATCGAGATAGCCTTTTGGTGTATATTTTTCCTCATCGAGTCTTTGTCCTTGACAGATTGACAAGAGTACACTTACAATATCAGAGCTTTGTTTTTTCTTGAGTAAGAGTGGATTACCCCTTTCTCTTGACAAGACATAAGCGTATTAGAAGTTTGCGGATTATCCACTTCTAAACTGATATTGTTCTTAGTATCTTCTTTGTTATCAAGTCTTTCTTTTCTTTTGTCTTGAGCAATATCAAACAAATTTTTCTTCTTAGTGTCATTATGGCAGAACTTGTTGAAATGAAGAGTGCAATGGCACAAATGCAAGAGCAAATGAGGGAGTTAATGCTTGCGATGCATCAACTCAATTCACCAACACAGGAAAGAACAAGAATAGCAGAAAGTGGAGATATAGAGATGATCGGAGCTGCTTCAACATCTACAACAAATCACGTTCCTTCTCCAATTGTACAACACCCTATAAGCACTAGAGAACCAAGAATTGCCTTACCTGAGAAATTTGATGGTACGAGATCAAAGTTTCGAGGGTTCATCAATCAAGTACAATTGGCAATTGAACTTCAACCGCAAAGCTATCCAACTCTAGAATCACAAGTCAGGTTTATTGGCACTCTACTTTCTGGTTCTGCATTATCGTGGTTTTCGTCTTTTCTTGAACAATGAAATCCAATATTGGACAATTTGGAAGCTTTTTTGGTAGAGTTTCGATCTATGTATGGTGAACACGATGCAACTCGTGTTGCAACAAATAAGATCTGAATTCTGCGACAAGGAAATCGCTCAATAACAATATATGCTTCACAATTTCGACAACTTGCAATTGATATCAAGTGGGATGATGCTGCACTCATCAGTCAATTTCTTTATGGATTGCAATACGAAGTAAAGAAATTGATGCTCAACTTACCTGATCCTCAAACTTTGAGTCAAGCAATCGATTTTGCGGTAAAATGTGATAATCGACTTTTTGAATTTCGATCTGAGAATCATTCACGGGAACCTCAACGTTATTACTCAATGGCAACATCAACATCTTTGCCAAACGTACATTCGGAAGTAGAAGACATGCAAATTGACGCGGTACGTTTTAAACCCCTAACTGAGCAAGAAAAGATTCGTCGTCGTCAAGAAGGATTATGTTTATATTGCGGAGAACCTAAGCACACTGCTCAACATTGTCCAAAGAAACGACGCAACTATAAAATGAGGGATACGACGGTCAAAGAAGACAACATGTCGGAAAACGGATTCGTCCAGCTACAATAGGGACCGTGCAGCTGGAACCTTGTACAATTCCTAATGAAGGTCCTATCCTCTCCTCAGAACCCTCTCCTTGTTTTATAATAGACTTATATTTAGGACCTAAGAATTACAAAGCCTCTGCTTTATTAGATTCGGGAGCCTCAGCATGTTTTTTAGATGAACAATTTGTTAAAAGTCGTAAAATACACTTTGTACAGAAACCTAAACCAGTACATGTAGAAGTCATAGATGGTCGTCCCTTGTCTTCTGGAGATGTCACTCATGAAACTCATCCTATAAAAGTAACAATAGACGGTCATGATAGCTACATAGCTTTTAACATAATTAAATCCCCGTCCAATCCAGTTATTTTAGGTTTATCCTGGCTAGAAAAATATAACCCTCGAATAGATTGGAATTCGCGTAAACTTGACTTTTCCAAAAGCGTTATTAATAGTTCTACGAACCAAGTAAAAAATTATAAGTCTAGTATAGTAAAACCCGTATTGATAGGTGCAAAAGCATTTATACACGCAGCAAAAGAAGGATCAACTTTTGCTATTTATGCTGCACCTATTTCTGAAAACGTAAAGACTTTAAGTGGCATTCCAAGTCAATATCAGGAGTATCAAGACGTTTTTGAGAAAAAGAATGCAGATATTCTTCCTGAGCATCGCCCATATGATTGTTCAATCGACCTCAAGGAAGGAACTCAGCCACCATTTGGACCAATTTACAGTTTATCGCAAGATGAGATG